AGAACACTTGTGAAGCACCAGTGCTTTACTGCTCCTTTAAAACAATGAAACCTCTAACCAATTGTACAGATAATTGTATGGGTTTTTTTGTGGTGCAGGATTTCATACTGTTGCATGACTTCATATTACTGTATATTTGTTACTCTATTGCAATAGCATCTGCAGTTATTTGCGAGGTTTTTTTAATATCCATTAGTAAGTCGTAATGGAGGAAACAGTATTGTATTGTCTGAAGAGAGAGAAAACATTTCTTGAAGTTTTATCTTGGAATGTAGAATATTGTTACTTCTATAGAAAGAAGGCATTGAAAGAAGCATCTTTCCAGCATTTGCAAAGTGGTGGTGGATTTGAAATTCACATTTCTCTAATGGACATCAGCCCATAATTTTGTGATAGGCAGCTTTATAAAATAGCCCCTTAAAAGAAAAATTAGTTAAGACTTTGATGAATAACTACAAAATTATGTAGTGGCTATGCATATACATGTAAATTCACTCAACTAGAACTAGAAAAATTTACAAAATGCATTAAGCTGGATTTGGAAGAGTGACTGCTAACCAGCAATTTGGTTGTGCTTATTATATCAGAATTGCTAGCTGTAAATTGGATAATATTCAGTAAGCATCTCTTTCTCTTCATGATCTGTTTGCAGTTCTCATATTTTGGGATGATGTGCACCCAGAGCACATATTGGAGCTTTCTATGGAATGTTGACATTTAAAAGTTAATTTATGGTTTGTAATCTGTAGAATAAATGAATTGTATGTTTTTAATCAGTTGTGAGTTGCCTTGGAAGGATTTATTCCTAGAAAGGAAAAGACAATAAATTAAATATCTACTTTTTATTTTTAAAACTTGCCTAGGGAGTTTTGGGGAATGCTTAGGGCAGAATATTGCCAGTGCCTTGCATTTGCCCTTGAGAGTGTTCACTATAGCTCTGACCTGATGCTCACTTCTTTGCACAATTTGACCACCATATAATTCAAGGTTGTCAGTTGACTGGAGCAGGCAGCCTGGTCTATTTCCTGTGCCTTTTAACAGCAGCTTTTTCTGTGAATCAGGTGAATCTTTTAATGGCATTATTATCAACTAATAGCTTCAGCTAAAGGCACAAGAGCAGACGTCTGTCCAAAAGTTGGCATACCTTGCTTTTACATATTCTCCCTCTCGAATTGCATCAGTTTTTCTTTAATTCTGGGGAATGGGAAATTTTCGTGGATAAGGTTTAACTATTTGAAACATTGGGAACTGTTTCCCATTTTTGCCAGAGTATGCAACTGCAAGGAGGAAAACCAGAAAAAATATGGGTGCTGGTACTACAGGAGAACAACAGTAAAAACCTATACGGTCGTGCTCTTTTGTATTCTGCAGTGGGGTTAAGTGATCCCTGAATATACTTTAAAGATGACCTTTTAATATCCTGGGTATGGAGTCCTTAACTGATGCAGCAGTTACTTCTGCCTGTGATAAAATTGCTAAGTGCACTGAAGCAGCTCAGCTAGGCTGGGGCAGAGCATTCTGCAATTTAAATTCCAGTCAGAGGATGGCTTGGTTGCGTCGAACAAAATGCATTATCTGGACCAGATAATTTTTCCTTAACAGTGGGGAAAGTTCATCACTACTTTCTCATCTTCTCTCAGATTAGCCTTATTAGGCTGTAAAGGTGGAATATAAAAGCACAGGCTAGAAAGGGGAGAGCTCACTAATTGCATAGGAGGATGTTTTCAGAGGAGCTGGCCTTTGCTACTCATAACTTTCTGCTTGACAGATGCATTGATCTTCAGCTTCCTCTCCCTCTTCCCTTTCTAATGGTATATTATGTGAAAGTTTAAGAATAATATCAGAGGACTATGCATGGAGAGGAACAAATATATTTTCTTATGGCTGGTATAGAAGAGACCATGATTTCTTCTGCTGTGAGTTTATAAAACCTTTACCTGCTCATTGAAAAGAAAAAAGGTGGGGCAAAATAAGAAATAAAAAGCTGAGTTGAAACACATGCACATCATTTGTGCGTGCGCAGTCCATTTGCCTATGTGGACATCACTCCCTGCTCCCAAGCCCAGAAACAGAGTGGAGAGGGAAGGGAGCTGGGGAGCATGTGAGTGCAGTGAAGGGGCAATGGTAATGCCCATCAACTGGGGGAGGCGCGGCTGGCACCCTAAAATATTTTATTGGGGGGCCCTAGGCCCCTAGGAGTTGGTTTCCTTGCCCACGATGGCTTCCAAAGAGCTGGGGAAGAGACCTAAGCCCAAGCAGAGAGGCTGCAACTGCAGAAATTATCCCTGGAGTCAGGTCTAAAGAGGAAGTATGGTGGAGGGAACCAAAGAGTTAAAGCATGAAAAAAATTCCTCTTTATCCTTCCTGTCTTCTTTCCATTTTTCAAAGGCTTTTCACTCATCTTGTTAATTATATATTCACGTGAGTCTCTAAATGCAAACAATGTGGCTGCTTGCTACTCTGCCAATAAAATTTCTCCATTTGCTTTGTTCAGCAATCTAGGAATTGCCTTGCAGGCAAGCAAGAAACAAGCCATAGACTGTTTCTCCAAAGCTTGTTTAGTTTGCCAACATCTGCAGTGAGGTAGCCAAGCACACCAAGGTTACGCGAGGCTGCTAGGTTCACATTCATGCCAAACCATAGTTGGAACATGCCATGGTTCAAAAGCCAACAGTAAACAGTGGCTTCACATCATGGTTTATTTCCAGAAGAGAAACCAGGATTAGTTTGTAGGGCTTGATTTGGACATTCAAACAAACCACGCCACATTTGGGCTAAATAAACCAGTGGCTTAGTGTTATGTGCGAGCAAACGCCTGTGTGAAATGCTGATCATAACTTAGGCTGGTGCGGCTGAAGAATATGACACAGTACATATTCTCCATGCTGTTCATAGCATTTGTGGGGATGGAGGGTGTTCTTGTCAGGACCGTGATGAGGAGGAAAGGGTTAAATCTACATGTTCCATTCGAAGTGCAGGGCAGTGTCCGGCACAAAGTATTTAAGATTCTAAAAACGACCAATTAACATACTCAGGCATATATCATGGATGTCATATGTCTATGAGAATTACCTTCCATTATGTATTATGTGATCAAACCCTCAGATTGAAATATTAGGAGGTCCAAAGGTTAGGCAACAGTACCTTTTAATTTCTACGTAGGAATTTTAAAAAAAACCCACCCCAGATTTTTTAGCCCGAATCTTTACAGTTGGACTAATTGTCATATGTACAATAATGGGATTTTGCCTTCATTTAAATATTGCAACCACGACTGTTTGAATTAAAAGGTTGCCAAGTGACCCACAAGCAAGTACTGAGCGCACTCCTAAGCCTCATGCTCTATGTAACTGTGCCAAAGGTTAAACTATTGGTAGATTTCCCAGTTGGAGCCAAACAGTGATGGTCTTTGTCTTGGGGACCTTTTGAGAGGAGAAGCAGCAAGTGTCCTTGAGAACAGAACAAGGAGGACCTTATATTATACGCTTGCTGCAAATACAAACCCACTGTACTAGTCTTCACTGGAAAAGAGATACTTTTGCTGCCATTTATGGCTACGTATGTGAGATCCCACCCACCAACCCAAAAAATGTGCAGGCCTTTTGACAATTTGGGTGAATGACAGAATTTTTATCTAGGTTCAGTAGTGCAGAGGATTAGCTGGGTATTGGTAAAATCACAATATGTTATTTCCACCCTATTGCAAGAGATCATGACTGGTCTCGCAATACTTCAGTTGCGTTCGTGTCCGCAGTAGTTGTGATAGTAATTTTCTGGGGTCTCCCACATCTAAGCCCCTTGGTCTTTCTACTGTACCATATTGGCTTCATGTCATCTCCCCAATTCCTTGGCAACATTCCCGCAAAGCACTAAAAAAATTGTTCAAACAACCATGGCACAAAAAGAGTTGTGGAGGGAAATGTAATTTACAATAAAATAAACACTATATTTACAAACAACCCAGTAATAAATCCTTATTAGGCCAGTCCTGTACAGTATATTTTAATATAAGTCAAACACGTTTCAACAGAAAGTCTTCAACAGTCGCCTAATATAACATCAGAAAAACTAAACAAAACTGGTTTTTAAAGGAACTTAAGGTCAGAATAAGCAACCATGCATAAAAAACAGGATAGCAATATTCACCACTAAAGAGTCAAAGAAGAGGGAAGTTAAACGTTTACTTCAAATTTCCATTATAAGCAGCCTTCCTGGATAAACTAAAAAATGTCAACAATCACTCATTAAATTAATTTTAAAATCTGCATTCGCAAAGCCGCAAACATTAATCTTCACAAACTTATTGAAGTGTTATTTATGGATGCAATCTTTTGCAGGCCAATTATTATAACCTACAACCAAATTTAACTTCATTCAAGCCTTTAGTGTATACGTGAAACCTTTTCCCGATTCAGCCATAGGTACTTTATATAAAGGCTGTGTTACCTAATAGCCATACACTACCTTAAAAGGCATAAAGGATTTCACATATAATTCTTTTATTGAAATAGTCAGATTTCTTTTACACAGATCACTAGTAGTAATAAAATAGCGTTAAATACACAGCTAAAATCGCCACTGATGCTCTTCAGGAAAATCTCTCTGCAAGGTTACCAGCTTCATTGAAATTGACAGCAAAAAGCAGTCTTGAGAGTGACAGGCATAAACACAAGCCACTTTGGGGCATAGGCTTTCTGTGAAACAAATGCAGCAACACAAGTTTTCATGCTACCAGTATTTAACTCCTGTCGTAAATGTGCTCCGTGGAGCATCTTAGTAGCCGTCAGTGCTGTGATCCATGAGGGTATGTTATGCCATTCTTTGAGAGGGTAGATGGGTCTTGGGTTGCTGGTCCTGTTGGGAATTCAAATAGAAGGAATTCAACACCTCCTGAAAAACCACATTTAATATTTTGGAGAAATGCCAAGAGTCCAAATTCATTTGTAAATAATTCTCTCTCTCTCTCTCTCTCTCTCTCTCTCTCTCTCTCTTTTAAACAGGGCATTCAGAAATTGGCTAGTCAGTACTTAAAGAAAGAGTGGCCTGGAATAAAAGCTGATGATCGACATGACTTCAGGTAATTTCAGCAAGTTCACTTGCATTGCTGACGGCATTCTGTGCCGAAGATCAAATGCTCTTTATTTTCTTACAGATATTCTATATGGACTTGGATCCCAACTTGGCTTCTGTGGGTAGGAAGAGCAGAATTCTGGAGCAAAGGATGGCCCTGCTGGTGGAAGCAGGGCCATCTTTCACTAATTCCCCCTTCCCCCTACAACACTTGCATCCTCTGAAAACCTGCCCCAGATTTTGGTGACCCTCCAGAATACTGGGAGGAGCTGTGGCGTGGGGCAGGAATTAAATAACTTCTCTCCCACCCCATCCCAACTCTGTCGGCAAAGTCTCTGCTGCATCAAAACCTTTTGTGCAAAACCTTTTTGTCAGAGGCTAAATTTGAATTGAAGCTATTGAAATTATGAAGTTCCGTGGCTCATAAAGTTCTGGGCCTAATTCAAAGTGCTGGTTTTGGCCCAGAAAGCCTTAAATGGCTCAGGGCTGCAATACCTCAAAGACTGCCTCTCCTCATATGAACCGACCTGGACTCTGCGATCATCATCTCAGGCTCTTTTTTGAGGGCTCTCGGAGAAGTCCGGAGGGCAGCAAAACGAGAATGGGCCTTTTCTGTGTTGGTTCCCTGCTTGTGGAATGCTCCCCCGCCCCCAGGCACCTTTGTTATATATCTCTAGGTGCCAGGCAAAAACATTCTCCTAGGTCTTTGGCTAATTTAACAGTCCGTGGCCTTTTAAATTAGGAGGGTATTGTTTTATTGGTTACTATGTTATGTACAGTGGTGCCTCGTGTTACAGACGCTTCAGGTTACAGACGCTTCAGGTTACAGACTCCGCTAACCCAGAAATATTACCTCGGGTTAAGAACTTTGCTTCAGGATGAGAACAGAAATCGTGCTCCAGCGGCAACAGGAGGCCCCATTAGCTAAAGTGGTGCTTCAGGTTAAGAACAGTTTCAGGTTAAGAACAGACCTCCGGAACGAATTACGTTCTTAACCTGAGGTACCATTGTATTTTTGTGTTTTTATATTGTAAACTGTCCTGTGATCCTCAGATGAATGGCAGTATAAAAAATAAGTATGAGCAAATTTGCATATGCTGTTGTGCTAAATGTTATAAGTTGCTTCCATGGAGGAAGTTCATGAGAGATGGATTGATAAGGATAGAAAGGTGAAAAAGAATAATGGAGCGTTTCATTCAAGCTGCTCTTTATTAGGCATAGCAAACCACACATTATAAAACAAACACCGTATACAAATTGTGGAAAATACGGATTCAGCATAACAATTTGCATAAATAATACAGTATAACACTACCACATCACCGACCAATCAAGAACCACTAAATTTCTCTATAATGGCCCAGTCTTTCCACATGGACAGCACTCAAAAATTTAGTCACTATTAAACTAATTTGATCATTCCTGCCCGAGAGCAGGTCCTGAACTGTTGGCGGCCTAGAGCCGAGCCTGTTAAGTTGCAAGGCCTCTAACAATTGTCTTCTGGCATAAATGCCAAAATCACAAGGAAAGAAAATATGCTTCAACATATCAGGTTCCTGCCTACCACATTTGCAGAGACACTCTGCTTCTGGGAGAGCTAAATATCTTCCTCTTACTATCATTGAGGGAAACATATTAAATCTGGCTAGCGTAAACAGCCTGCACAGTTCATGATTCTTCATGATTTGCCATGTAACCCTTTTGAAAATCTCTACACAAAGGGAGATTTAAATCTCTGAGAGCAAGTGCTGTGCTTTGCAACCTTGAGAGTGGAGAGAACACTTTTTCCTGTAAAATATCAGAATTATCTTGGGGTTGAAACAACTTCCCTATAAGGAAAGGTTGCAGCTATTTAGTAGAGGGAAAAAGGCAAATAAGATGTCGATACAGTAAGTAAAGGTAAAGGGACCCCTGACCATTAGGTCCAGTCGTGGCTGACTCTGGGGTTGTGGTGCTCATCTCGCTCTATAGGCCGAGGGAGCCGGCGTTCAGCTTCCGGGTCATGTGACCAGCATGACTAAGCCGCTTCTGGCAAACCAGAGCAGCACACAGAAATGCCGTTTACCTTCCCGCCGGAGCGGTACCTATTTATCTACTTGCACTTTGAGGTGCTTTCAAACTGCTAGGTTGGCAGGAGCAGGGACCGAGCAACGGGAGCTCACCCCGTGGCAGGGATTCGAACTGCCAACCAGTAGAGGGCATGTAAAAATAGACATATTTGTCTCTCTCATATTTGTCCAGGAAAAGGCACAGTTGATGCTGCAACTGAAGCTGGTGATGGGCACTCTTTACCATGAAGGGTCCTGGACCTCATGGGCAGAGATGGTTCCAAGGGCACTGTCTCCTTCAAAGTGCTGCACACCACATCCTCATGCAAGAATATGCCAACTACCCCCTGGATCCACCTGCTCATTCCTCCCCCACCCTTTCACGGATAAACCAGGAAGGGCAAGGGTCAAGAGGGCAAGTAGTGGGATGGACAGCCAGAATCGCTTTATCAGGCCTGATTCCACAGACTCGAAAGTCAGTCAGATTTCACAGATTCGAAAGTCAGTTCCACAGTCAGGCCTGATTCCACAGACTCAAAAAAGACACCTCACCAAAGACAGGATTGCAGCAGCATGAAGATGAGTGATTTGTCCTCAAATTGCCTAGCAAGCTTATCACAGCAGGCCTTTGATGGTTCCAACAGCCCATTAACTGGCGCAAGTGATACCAACCTTCTCTCTCTCTCTCTCCTTTTTTTTTTTTTTTTTTTTTGTATTTTAGGAGCATGTATCCAGTGTGGAAATCATTTCTTGAAGGCACAGTGCAAGTGGCTCAATCCAGACTCAATATCTGTGAAAATTACAAGAACCTAATTTCTGAACCTGCCAGGGCAGTCAAGTGTTTTAAAGAACAGCAGCTGAAGAAGGTATTGTCCTAACAGTTCGTCCGATGTTTCAAACGTTTGTGTTCCAGGGTGCAGATTTGAAGAGAGAGGAGTGAGGGGGAGATGTACCCCCCACTAAGGTTATTTTGTTAAGTGTGTTTCATCTGAGGCAAAGGGGCTTAGCGATTGAGCCAGATGACCTTGAGGCTTGTCTCAACTCTACCGCTCTTGAGATGATGTACACAGATGCTTTCTGTTGAAGTTAAAACTGAGTTTCTTTTTTCTGAAGCAACAAAGTACCATCATGTGCCTTGTATTTTAGCTGAAATAGCTGGGGGAGAACAGGCATCACAGCTTGCTTTCTCAATGAAATCAAATACATCCCGTGCCGCTGCAAAAAATCTATGAAAAATAAGCATCTTTGGAGGTAGCTTTGAACTTTTCCCAGTTATTCTGGGGTAGGCTTTGAATTTAAGGTGTGGTACCTTTTTAAAATGTTTGAGGAATTATTGAAGGATCTAAGGGTGTAGCGGAAATCGAGATGATTCAGCCACATCCTGTAAAGGCATCCCAGGCAGCTGGCCAGAAAAATCAATACAGAGGCAACCTTGTGCCTTAATACACAAAGGGGGCTATTCTGATTAAAGGAGGCAAATGTTACTTTTCCTCTTTTCCCCCCTCCTTTCCTTTTCCTCTTTTTTTGAGAAATGATTCAGTAGCTGAAGGGTCAATCTCCTAGCTTTGTAGCAATATATTTCATGTATGTGTACCTGAAACATGTCCAGTGTGAAAGGTACCAATTCATCAGTTTAGATGCTAATCTTCAGCTGGTTTTAAAGTGACATTGTGGCAATTAATTTTGCATTGGGTAAATGGGTTGCAGGTCAGTGTTAGGATAGAACTTAATGTATTTTCTGGCATATAAGACTACTTTTTAACCCAGGAAAATCTTCTCAAAAGTCAGGGGTCGTCTTATACGCCGGCTACAGCAGCAACTCCCCACCAAAGGACAAAACGAGAGTAAATTAAATCAGAGGACACCAAGCTCTCTAGATGAAGCAGAAATACGCTTGAAAATTGGCCCCAGGTGCCTCCCCAATCACCAGCAACAGAATGACCCTAACCGCTCCCAGTAGTAGACCACATGGTCCAAAATGGCAGCCTCGCGTTGCCCCAGCAGCTAGACACGTGGCCCAAGCAGCCCCCGAGTAAAAGAAAAGGAAAGGCTCACAACAAAGGCAGGGAACCAACAATAGCATTAAGCGCACCCCCCGGCCACTGGGAAGTGGAGCTGATTTCCGAGCCGGACTGGAGACTGTTTTGGTTTTTTTTAATTTTTATTTGCTGTGTGTTGGAAGAGGGGTAGTCTTATACGACGAGTATATCCCAAACTCTATATTTTAACTGGAAAAGTTGGAGGTCGTCTTATACGCCCAGTCGTCTTATACTGTACTGTTTCTGGGGGACAGGAGGCAGGCAGGTGTGGAGGATTCCCTGGTCCTGAATGGGGTAACTGTGCCCCTGAAGGACCAGGTGCGCAGCCTGGGAGTCATTTTGGACTCACAGCTGTCCATGGAGGCACAGGTTAAATCCGTGTCCAGGGCAGCTCTGTACCAGCCCCATCTGGTACGTAGGCTGAGACCCTATATGCCTGCGGACTGCCTCGCCAGAGTGGTGCATGCTCTGGTTATCTCCCGCTTGGACTACTGCAATGCGCTCTACGTGGGGCTACCTTTGAAGGTGACCCGGAAACTACAACTAATCCAGAATGCAGCAGCCAGACTGGTGACTGGGAGCGGCCGCCGAGACCATATAACACCGGTCTTGAAAGACCTACATTGGCTCCCAGTACGTTTCCGAGCACAATTCAAAGTGTTGGTGCTGACCTTTAAAGCCCTAAACGGCCTCGGTCCAGTATACCTGAAGGAGCGTCTCCACCCCCATCGTTCTACCCGGACACTGAGGTCCAGCACCGAGGGCCTTCTGGCGGTTCCCTCACTGCGAGAAGCCAAGTTACAGGGAACCAGGCAGAGGGCCTTCTCGGTAGTGGCGCCCTCCCTGTGGAACGCCCTCCCACCAGATATCAAAGAGAACAGCAACTACCAGACTTTTAGAAGACATCTGAAGGCAGCCCTGTTTAGGGATGCTTTTAATGTTTGATGTATCACGGTATTTTAATATTCTTTTGGAAGCCGCCCAGAATGGCTGGGGAAACCCAGCCAGATGGGCGGGGTATAAATAATAAATTATTATTATTATATTATTATTATTATATTATTATTATACGCCCAGTCGTCTTATACGCCGGAAAATACGGTAGTTCAAAACCACGTGTCACTAATTTAACTGCATCTCACAGGGTAAAACAGCTTTGGGGAAAGGCCAGTGGAGAGGTGACAGGAGAAGACTATTTAATTCTTCCTCCAATCCCTGCTTTTCTCCTTCAAATCACCCCTGAAGCTGCTTCTCGCCTCTGCTCGGTTCTAGATGCATGTGTGGAAGAATAATCGTGTCCTGAACTTGTGCACGTGTGTGTAAATGCAGTTGAAAAGCAGCAACTGGGAGAAGCTTATCATCCCTCTTTGTTTCAGTTCAAGTCACATCCTCCCAAATAAGCAGCTGCCTGGGTCTTGTTCAAAAGCATTTGTGTGTATTGTGTGTTTTAGTCCTATTTCTTTCTTTCTTTTTTTAGTTTTATTTATTTATTAACATTCTTATGTTACATCAGTAAACATTACCATATTACATTACAAGGCTTATTATAATATAATTTTCAGCATGTATACAAAGTTTATTTACAAAGTTTATATACCTAAAGAAAAAACACAAAGACAAAAAACTATTCCAAAAATCATATATGCACCAACACTTTGGACTTCCTGTCTATTCCGTTGTATATACCTTTTTTTACAAATGACTGTACTCTTATTATGGTACATTTCTTTACATTTTATCTAATACATTCCTATATCAATATGTACCCTTGGTCTTATTTCTCAACTCAGTCTCTCTCCAGCGTCAATCGAATGCTAGCATAGATAGTGAACCTTTACTGTAGTTTTGAACATCAATCTTATATCTATCCCACTTTTCCATAAATTTTTGTTTTGAATTGCCTCTCAGGCTATTTGTCAACGGCGCCATTTCAGCAAATTCTTGTAGCTTGTTATGCCAATCCGTTATTGCCAGGACTTTTTAGTCCTAAATCTTGAGTGTACTTGTGCACCAGTGCAGCAGCTTCTTAAAGAATGCAGCACTTAATTTACATGTGTTGGACAGGTCCGTTTTAAGCCCTGTGTGCATCAGTATAGAAGTATGAGTTGCCTTAACCAAAGGTTTTTTATCCCGGCTCACCCTACCCACTTCTTTCTTTATGTTGGTTGGTTTAAAATATTTACATGCTGCCCTTAATTATCAAATTCCAGGATGGTTTACGGAATGTATTAAAACAGTGTATATTAAAACAACAACAGGGAACATCACAGTAAAAGAAACGAGCGCAGTAGAGAAATCTAAAAACAGAAAGATAGGTCTGTAACAGATGTCAGAGCACAGTTGAGATGGGCGCTTGTCATGCTTCAGGGGGGGAGGAATGCCAAAGGCTGAGTGTCACAGCAAGGAGGCCGCAGGATGTTCAGATGTAGGTGACAGAACAACGAGGAAGGCCTGATGTGTAGATCTCAAAGGTACAGGACAAGGTGCTCCATTAGATAAGCAGGCCCCTAGCTAATTAGCACCTTGTGCTTCAACCTGGCCTGGTAATATACTGGCAGCCAGTGTGGTTGTATGAGGACAGGCTTCTGGTAGGCTTCACCATGTAGTAACCTATCCGCTGAGTTCTGCATTCCCTGCAGTTTCTGGACTACCCTGAAGCAAAACTCCCCAGAGAGCACATTGCAGTAGTCAATCTCAAGGTTAATATTGCCGTCCTTGTCCGGCAAAGACTGTAACTGGCACATCAGCCGAAGCTGGTAGACAGCTCTCCTAGGTCCTCCTCCTCTTCCGATTTATCAAAAGACATTCTCATATAAATAGCAGATCCGAAATTAATTATTGTACTTGTTCCCTGTATCCGCAATGGTGAGGTCACAAGAAATGGCATCTATTTGTTGCTTCACTTGCATTCTGCAAATTGGTGTTGTAATTTTTCCAAGAAAGATCAATGAAAAATTGGAGACCATTGTCATAGATCTGGAGAGACTGCAAATGGTAGCTGAATGCCTCTCTTGGAGTTCCAAACGTGACTTAAGCGCACATTTCTTTGTGTGTGTGTGTGTGTGTGTGTGTGTGTGTGTGTGTGTGTGTGTTATGCAGGGAGAGCTGCTGTCTATAACACACACATTGCATGCCATGTAGCATCTGTAACACTCAAAAATCAGCACGTCACAAAAATAACTCTTATATGAGAATTTGCCGTGGGAAGATTTATGTTCTGGAGTAAGAGCCATTCTTTGAGGTGAACTTACTGAGAGTCAAGGTAACCTAGTCACACATACACAGGAATCCAAGGTAAACCAAAGGTCCATCTCCACAGATGATGCCCTACCTGGTGCTCCAGGGATGATCTCAAATAATGTTTGATGGAGAAACTCATCCCCCCGTGTGTTGGGTCCCTGAAAATGGAGTTGTATTTCTGGCTATTATAGCTGGCGGTGATCAGTAGAACACCTTGTCTTCAGTGCTCTTTAAAAAACCATTTATCCCAGTGGCTATTACAGCATCCTATGGCCACGCTCCCATGGAGTAAGTGCAATTACTTGCTATGTTGGCAGCACAATCACTTGCTCTGTGCTGAGCATCTGTTAAACCTTTTTGCCTGCGTCATCTTCCCAAGTATAACAGTTTGCACTGGCTGCGGTTACAGTTTGCAATGTTCCCATAGTAGACAATGTCAGCTTGCAGCAGCATGTACAGAATACGAATACTCTGTGTCAATATGTTCAGAATGGAAGGCTTTGTTGTTGTTGTTTTGAATTGGGGATACAGTAGTAGCGACTGTTCTACTTTGATGATGATAGCAATAATAGTTTTTCCTCTTTTGTGTGTTCTTTTTTGTTCAGTGTGTGGACCAGCTGACCAGAATCCAGGCCGAATTGCAAGAGACGGTCAAAGATTTAGCTAAGGGCAAGAAGAAGTACTTCGAAACAGAGCAGATGGCTCACGCTGTCCGTGAAAAGGCCGATATTGAGGCCAAGTATGTAACGACGTGTCTACAGTTCCTGCGTCTAAACATGTTTAAAATAGCTTTATGTAATGCATCCTGCTTGAATATTAGTGATGTAATTCAAGCCTGTAAACAGGCACTCTGCTGGTCACCTTTAGAATCGAATCCAGTCGCTAGGAAAGAGTTGTCTCCATTTTCTCCAGTGCTGTGTCTATGTTACATCCATATTGGATCCATATCATCTCCAGATGAGGCTGCTTTCTAAATGTAATGCCTGTTCTAGACATCTGCTGATCGATTGTCTTACTTTCGTTCACAGGTCTAAACTTAGTCTTTTTCAGTCAAGGATAAGCTTACAGAAAGCAAGTGTAAAGGTGAGTGTTGCACAATATAATTCTAGGGATATATTGGGTCTAGAGCAGGGGTCTGCAACCTTTAAGACAAAAAGAGCCACTTGGACCCGTTTCCGAAGAAAAAAACACCTGGGAGCCGCAAAACCGGGAAAGTGACGTCGGGACGGTGCGTGACTAACGCACACACCGCCCCCATGTGACGTCACAGCCAGTACAGCGCCCGCCACAGTGGGGAGTGTCGGGGCGCACAATGCGCCTCCTCCCCTCGCTAGTATCCGCCCCGGAGCCGCGGCAAAGGTGTAAAAGAGCCACATGCGGCTCCGGAGCTGCGGGTTGCAGACCCCTGGTCTAGAGGGTGAGCTGGAAATGTCCCTAAAGCAGAGCCTCATTAAACTGGCCAAACTGTGACCAGGGCGGGCTTGTTTTCTAGTCGGTGTAACAGTACATTAGAATCCATTCAGAACAACCCATGAATTTGAAGTTCTTAAGCATTTCTCATTGGCATCAAGATATAGCTGTCTATAATCTGCGAGAACTTTTTCCATCTCTGCCACAAGTGCAACTCTGGCCTCTTCCCAGAGGAGGAAATATTGCCCAGTGCCAAACCCTTCCCACCTGCTGGGTTTAGCAAGCAGGGTTTTAGCAGAGCTCTTGGCTTTGGCCAGCTAGCCTGTTTGCCTGATTATATTTAATATGGTCTTGTTTTGCTTACCTCATTGTGTACGGCAAAGTGTCTCCTGTAGCTACTTTGCCAGCCCAGCTAGTCTGCTTATGGCAGGACAATGTTTTTTTGCACTGAGAACATTCTGTAATACACAATTTGCAGAAGGCAAAAGGGCAAAGACTCAGATTCCATCTCAGATTATAGGAGTGGCAGGCAATTCTTCTGGTTGTTATGCAGTACTTATGCAACCTTCATAAAATATATTACTTATGTTCCTTACTAGAGCCATTTAGGGGTAGTGTGATGCATTGTTGTCCCCAATGAAGTTAAAATCTCCACTGGTGACATTAAGTAACCCACTATGTCACAAGCTTAGCCTTTCATTTATATTGTGGGGATAACGATCTGCTCTGTGGGGTTGTTAGTAAAAGAACATACACGAAGTGTTTCGAGCCCTCAATACTTAGCGCATAAATGACAAGTATTATATATTTGTACCCTGCTTATTTTATTTCAAAATTGTGGATCTAATTAGATACCTATTCTAGTCCATAAAGAATTGCAGCAGGTATCATTGGAAAGATATACTGGGCTGTTAAACTTCATCCTCTTATTGCTTCACAGTGTTGAACTTTCATGTCTTAATCATTGCTCATCATTTGCTTACCATCTAATTTTGTTTTATTGATATAGTTAAAAGCACGACGGTCTGAGTGTAATTCCAAAGCTACTCACGCGAGGAATGACTACCTTCTCACTTTAGCAGCCGCGAATGCACACCAAGATCGCTACTATCAGACAGACTTAGTAAATATTATGAAGGTAATGGCAGATAAAATTAAGTCAAATAATTTATTTCCCATCTCTGTATTATAGATTCTGTTATATGATACAGTGTTGGAATAATATAAGAGCGTTATTGCTTTGCGCTTAAGTTCATGCCGTGTCTTAAGATTTTGGAAGATTCAGAAATATTTCTATGCTTCCTTACTGTGTAATACCAGCCAAATAAAGCTGTAACTATGTCTAAACACTGTCAAGCTACAAACCCCCTAGATTATGAGTAGAGAAAATGGGTCAGTTCATATATCAGACCGTGCCTGTATGTGCTACTGAAGTCAGAGTATGATGTTTGACTTGATAGTTTGGTTTATGGTCAGCCGTAAACCAGCACTGGAAAATCATAGTTGGATTTTACAAGCCATTGTTGGTGCTAAGATAGTCAGTGAAAGCGGGTAAACCCCTCCAAGTCACTTTTGGATAGTGTGCATTTGAAAGCTAAAACCGTGATTTACCTATGGTTAGTGTTTGGTGTTAATGTCTGAATTGAGCCAGTGTGGAACGTGACGCATTGCTGAATGTTGAATTGGTGCACATTGAGTATTCTGCAGCCTGTATCTAAAAAACTAGGGAATTAGTTCTCCTTGCTCAGAGAGCCTTTGGACTTGTGGTTACCCCTTTACCATGCTTTTGAATTTTGAGTGGTGTCCCAAAGGCGCTGTGTTCTGAATGGCATGAATGCCCCACCAAGAGAGGGCACTCCACTTGGCATGCTCAAACCTTTTGAGCGCACACGAACAGCATTTTTTAAAATCTCAGTCTGGTTTTTAATGTATGTCTGTAAAATGGTGTTAAATGACTGAGCTTTTTCTACCCTGTCCCCAGTCATCAGCTGTCCGGTGGTAGATTTGAATTGATCTTTTGTAAACAGTCTGGAGATTCTCCACAGTCTGCAGCATCTATTACCATCCCCACCCCTGGCCAAAAAAACCCTGTGTAGTAGTAATAGCAGGAATTTGAAGGAATGTATGGCTTATTAGAGGGACGCGGGTGGCTCTGTGGGTTAAACCACAGAGCCTAGGACTTGCCAATCAGAAGGTCGGTGGTTCGAATCCCCGCAACAGGGTGAGCTCCCATTGCTCGGTCCCTGCTCCTGCCAACCTAGCAGTTCGAAAGCACATCAAAGTGCAAGTAGATAAATAGGGACCGCTCCGGTGGGAAGGTAAGCGTTTCCATGCGCTGCTCTGGTTCGCCAGAAGCAGCTTAGTCATGCTGGCCACATGACCTGGAAGCTGTACGCTGGCTCCCTCGGCCAATAAAGCGAGATGAGCGCCGCAACCCCAGAGTCGGCCACGACTGGACCTAATGGTCAGGGGTCCCTTTACCTTTACCTATGGCTTATTTATGGAACAATGATAGATCAGAATGAGAAAAGTTTTGCAGGATCTTCGTAATTTATTTGGCTGGCAGGGGTTTAGTTTGGAGAACAAAGTTTGTCCCTGACCAGTCTGCTGTTAACTAAATAGCAATTCATCTAGCGATAAAGAAGCAACAACATTGCAAGAAAAATCCGCAGAGCCAAGGCGTGCAGGGCTAAATGAATGTATTCTGCTTTTGGTTTCCCTACCCGCTAGTAGAGAACGATAGCCGCCTTCTGGAGCTGGAGGCTAGATGGATCATCGGACTGCAAAACCTGACACGGAAAAGGTTTGATGAATAGCTGCACTTGGTCACTTAGGTCCAGACTGCATTTGAACGGAGCCAGGGAGGAGTCGATTTAAAGTGGCACAGGGCCTTGACTGCATACACAATCCTTCTGTGTTACTTTTATTGTTGTTAGCCGCTCTGAGCCCAGCTTTGGCTAGGGAGGGCGGGATATAAATAAAATTTTATTATTTTTATTATTCCTATTATTCTGCAGTTTTTCCCCAGCAGCACGTAAACTGGGATAGCACAGTTGGTAGAGCATGAGACTCTTAATCTCAGAGCCATGGGTTTGAACCCCACATTGGGCAGAAATCTTCCTGCATTGCCAATGGGTGGTGGGTGGTGTCCTTTAAAGCCCTAAATGGCCTTGGTCCAGTATACGTTCACTAAGGTCCAGCTCTGAGGTTCTTCTGGCTGCTCCCTCCCTGCGAGAAGCCAGGTTACAGTGAACCAGGCAGAGGGCCTTCTCGGTAGTGGCGCCCTCCCTGTGGAACACCCTCCTACCAGATGTCAAAGAGAAAAACAAATACGTACAGTGGTGCCTCGCAAGACGAAATTAATCCATTCCGCGAGTCTCTTCGTCTTGTGGTTTTTTCGTCTTGCGAAGCACGGCTATTAGCGGCTTAGCGGCTATTAACGGCTTAGCGGCTTTAAGAAAAAGGAAACAAACTCACAAGAACTCGCAAGACGTTTCGTCTTGCGAAGCAAGCCCATAGGGAAATTCGTCTTGCGGAACGACTCAAAAAACGGAAAACCCTTTCGTCTAGCGAGTTTTTCGTCTTGCGAGGCATTCGTCTTGCGGGGCACCACTGTACCAGACTTTTAGAAGACATGTGAAGGCAGCCCTGTTTAGGGAAGCTTTTAATGTTTAATAGATTATTGCATTTTAATATTTTGTTGGAAGCTGCGCAGAGTGGGTGGGGAAACCCAGCCATATGGGCGGGGTATAAATAAATTATTATTATTATTATTATTATTATTATTATTATTATTATTATTAGGGTCACCTCCAACTCTACAATTCTATGATTTTTTACCCTGCCTTCCCCGCTACCCCAGAAGCTCAAATCTCAGCGGCGTCACTAATGACTACCCTTCTGCGCACAGACCTTATTGTAAGCCCCTGTGTGCATTTTGGTGGTCCCTGTGCAGGAGCCGTTGCTTGGACTTTGTCTTGAGGATGAAATATGAGAACTGAGATGGGCACTCTTAAATCCCCAGACAGACAACTGTGCAGTGTGCTTTTCAAAATGCCGTTTTAATTATTAATACAGTCTGGGAGGATGATCCAAAAATCAATTTAATGTCACTTTTCCTGGAGACCCTCCATGCCTCTTAATTTCTTAAATTATTTACGTTTTCTCTCCCCCCCTCCCTCTCCTCTCTCTCTCTCTCTCTCTCTCTCACACACACACACACACACACACACCCACACACACCACTTTGGCACAGTAGAGCATGATGTAATTTTAGTTCTGTCATACATATTTGGAATACAAATGTGCTGGACCAAAAAAGAAGAAGAAAATCCAGTGATCTGGTCGGATTAGTAATTTGAAGCCCAGGATGAGCTTTCAAGGCACTTTGATTTGCAATATCCTTAAATCATAGCTAAGCTGACGTGTTGTTGTTTTTATTCTAGCCTGTGCTTGTCTTCTTAAGTTTCATACAAATAATTTTATAACCTCGGCACCAAATACTTGAGCATATCTGATTTCCAATGAGCAATTTGTCTAGCATCATATGACCAGCGGCAATATTTGTGTCTTCAGAGAATTTCTTTGGGAGTAGACATTTATTTATTTATTTATTTATTTATTTATTTATTTATTTATTTATTTATTAAATTTCTATGCTACCTTTCCTTCAAGGATCACAGGGCAGTTTACAATATAAAAACACAACAACACACAACAACAAACAAAAAAATTACCCTCCCACACACACTGTTTAAAAGGCTATCGATTGTTTAATTAGCCAAAGGCCTGAGGGAAGAGGAATGTTTTCATCTAGGTCACAACCTTTTTCAGCCGTGGGCCGGTCCACCGTCCCTCAGACCATATGGTGGGCCGGACTATATTTTGAAGAAAAATATGAATTCCTATGCCCCACAAATAACCCAGAGATGCATTTTAAATAAAAGCACACATTCCACTCATGCAAAAACACCAGGCAGGCCCCACAAATAACCCAGAGATGCATTTTAAATAAACGGACACATTCTGCTCATGTAAAAACACGCTGATTCCCCGACCGTCCACAGGCCGGATTAAGAAGGCGATTGGGCCGCATCTGGCCCCCGGGCCTTAGGTTGCCTACGCCTGGTCTAGTGCCTAAAGGTCTATAATGAAGGTGCCAGGCGATCTTTCATGGGGAAAGCATTCCACAAACAAGGAGCCACTGCAGAAAAGGCCTGTTCTTGTGTTGCCAATCTCCAGACCTCTCGTGTAGGGGGCACATGAAGAAAGGCCTCAGGTGATGATTGCCAGGTCTAGGTTGGTTCATATGGGGAGAGGTGGTCTTTGAGGTGGTGTGGTCCTGAACCTTGATAGTAATGTTGCTTGTACTTTATGCAGAAATGCCCCACCCTTACACCTAGAATGCAGAAATTCAGCTAAATTTCCAAATTGCAACTTTTCCCAATACAGTGGTACCTTGGTTTACAAACTTCATCCGTTCCGGAAGTCCGTTCTGAAACCAAAGTGTTCTTAAACCAAGGTGTGCTTTCCCATAGCAGTGGGGACTCAATTTACAAATGGAACACACTCAACAGGAAGCAGAACATGTTCTGCTTCCAAGGAAAAATTCACAAACCAAAACACCTACTTCCGGGTTTGCAGCGTTCTTAATCCAAGTTGTTCATAAACTAAGCTGTTCTCAAACCAAGGTACCACTGTATTGGGAAAAGTTGCATTACACAAAAGTTGCATTGTACAGTGGTACCTCGGGTTAAGTACTTAATTCGTTCCGGAGGTCCGTTCTTAACCTGAAACTGTTCTTAACCTGAAGCACCACTTTAGCTAATGGGGCCTCCTGCTGCCGCCGCGCCGCCAGAGCACGATTTCTGTTCTCATCCTGAAGCAAAGTTCTTAACCTGAAGCACTATTTCTCGGGTTAGCGGAGTCTGTAACCTGAAGCGTATGTAACCCGAGGTACCACTGTATATTTAAATGAGGCTGGGAGATCAATGGCAAAATGAATGCTTCGTATCCAGAAGAACTCAGGTGCAGTTTGTGGCATCTTTTGATTAAAAGAATATGGGCGAAGTCTCCACCTGACGGAGCTATAGCCAGCAAGAGTAGGTGGTCTGCATTGGTCTACGGCAGCATCATTTG